TCGATTTGGCGTAACTGGTGGCTCGCCCACTCATACTAACATCACTAGAAGGTAGCTGAAAATTTGACCTATATGATGATAGTGTAAGCATGCGTGGGTGAGCTACCAGTTACGTCAAATCGACGATCAAATGCATTGTTTACAAAAGCTGATACGTCCCTTCGAAAAAGTAATCGAGAAATGATTACTTTCCTATTTTATAACAAGGTAGAAAGGTATTGTTTTGCGTGCACTCAGTGGTATGGGTTCGTACATGCATACATGCTGGTGTGCGTGTTTTCTTCCAACGCTGCAGTTCAACGCTATCTCGTCGCAAATCGTTTGGCGCTGTTATCTGTCTCTATACATTCCAAAGAGCTAGTCTGTGATAACGCTATGTCAGAAGTGGAAAGCAATAATGATATAATCTTCTTCCTTTTTTATGACAAGCACCCCGTGCTACACAGCTCACTTGGGGCGGTAGAAGGAAACGAGCAAATTGTGGGCAAGCTGCTTCACGAAGTAAAGCCGAAAATGATACACGTGAGTTAAAGGGAATTGTTTTGTTATGTCTCTTCTCGATTCAGATCAAGCTATGTTCTCATCCGTGAATATTCCAACAAAGTAGGCAAGCAATATATCATTACAGGCATAACATTTGATAACGGCACAAAAGCATTTGTACACAAACTTTCTAAGGCCCTTTACACGCGAACCAAAGTACGCCCACGCAGACCAACAACATCATCGGATAGGAGCAACTATCACCTTTCCGAAAGTTGTATTGGTTTACGTGAACGTACTTTGGTTCGCGTGTAGAGGGCCTTAGAAAATTTTGTTTATAAATGCTTTTGTGCCGTTATCAAATGTTATGCCTGATTATCCTTCTACCACTCCGATCGAGCTACAGAGCGAGTTTGTCATGGTAGTAGTAGCAACCGTTTTGTCTGTATCGTTGGTTGCTTTATGTGTTTGGATTCGCTGTGCGTATTACCACAGACAACAGACATCCAAGTCAAATTTATAAAGTGTGTAAGATATTTAACTGCTATTTTGAATAGACATTTGAAACTAGCAATATCGTGGTGGCGCTAGTGTCGCTGCCCATCAACGTCTTAACATGTCAAAATTGTGGTAAGCAAAACATTGTTTGTTTAAAACCGGTTAAAAACATGGGTCGCAAGTGTGAATTTTACTGGTGCGCAAATAAACAAGGTGTTACCAAGCGAAAATCTTTTCACAATTTTCCTAAGGATGCTGAATTGCCCGAACTACACGACATTTTCTTCTCACGTGGAGTCCAAGCGCTTGCAACGAAAAAGTTATGTTCCGACCACTTCCCCCCGGAAGCTTTTCGAATTCCTGGAAGAACGGATGCAGGGTAAGCAGTGTTTAAATCTTACCACATTGACAACACAACTCGATTGATTTCCGTTGTTTCGTCTTGTTTGTTTTGAACTCGACAGTTCATTTGAATACACGGTCAATAGGTTCAAATCAAATTTTATTTCAGTTTACTAATTAATCGCACAAAGTGATAACTCGAGTCGCAACATTCCGTATGGCGGCGCTAGAGTTCAATTTGAATTCTTACACATATTTTTTCGAAAAAATTGTTTAAGCTTGGATGTCTGTTCTCTGTGGTATTACTACTACAAATTCGGGATAGTGGAGTATACCGAGAAGGAGCGGAAGGACGAAGAGGAGGCCAATCGGCGGGCACTCCTGAAAGAAAAATAATTGGTTTAAAAAAAATGCAATCGATATGGATAATAAGCATGTAAACAATGAACAGCCTTGAAAGAAAAAGTTTAAAGCCTAATGAGTGCCCATTGTGATGCTTCATCCAAAAAATTAATTGCAATCTAATGGGCCACCCTCCACATTGATTCATAACTCCAAAATATGAACCAGTACAAAAATGATCAAGATTGATGAAGGTTTAGAGGTTGTGCAAATGGTTTGAAGTTTGTATGAAGATTATGGCGAATTACTATGGGAAATTTTTAATTTCACTACTATCGCACTATCATTGTTGTATGTTGCATCGAAATAAATTTGGTAAAGAATTATAAAAAAAATAATTAAAGAAAAGACCAATTAAAGGACCGGTTTGGCTAAAAACTGGCACACTTACCCCTTATGAAAACCATTTTATTTCCCTGTCCATAGATGTAAATTTTATTGAATAAGTACACTCAAAATAATTGACACGTTATTGTTTGGTGAAAAATCACGTAGAGTCTCACATTTTCCTTTTCTGTCAATTGTAAGTAGCGTAAATAGAATTTACACGCTGTCACTTATATATCAAAGGCTATTCCATTCGAAGCTACTGAGATTTTCAATGAAACTTATGTGATTTCTACATACACAAATTCTATGTGCGGTTCACGTAAACCTTAAGAGATTTTCAAAAAGGGAACACAAATAGAACACAATATGGCGTATTTAGAGTGTTTACATGTCAATGATAATGTTGTTTGTTATCTCGTTGGCTTAGCTACAAATTGTGAGTATAACGGATTGAGATTTTTCATTTGTAATAATTTAACGTATGTTCCTTTATAGTTTAACCACAGACAAACAGACATAACAATCGCAAGTTGTTCATCGAACAAGCATTTAACGGACAATTAAAAAGTATCGTAGTTGGTAGTAACACCACCTGTGGCGCGCATAGTCAATTTCTTTGCGTTTGACGTTTACACACTACCGACATCTGTTCAGCGTAGTGCCCACCACAGTGTACTCAACAGATGGCGGTAATGTTTTAGCGACGATGTTTTACAGTGAGAAATATTCAATGTGTTATGTCTGTTTGTCTGTGGTTTAACTGAACGGTGGACGGCAAGGATGATATGAAGGTTTTGAATTGGAATTATAACGCTTTATCCGATGCAGCATGATTATCATATTCCCTTATATTAATTGATCGTGTTATCCATCGGATTTTAATATAATTCCTGTATTTACAGATGTGAATAGTAATAGAGCGAATAAAATTGTTGTTTTCTTATAATACATAGGGGAAATGGCTCTAATGTTGGCCTATGGATCTAAGGTTGGGCTCATCGATAAAAATCTGCTATTTATCAATTTTATTTAGATGAACGCGTGATTAGGACGGTACTAATGGATATTTTCGGTCGCTATTGATAATTTAGTCGATTGCTGAATTTATGTATGGGCCCAAATTAGGGGCATTTAGGCCGACATTACATCCATTTCCCCTACATACATTATTTAAAACTAACCGAATACAAAAGCTTCGGAAACCGCCATGAATTTCATCACAAGAATTCCGTAACTTCTACGTGTTAATCCAGTGACGATGAAGTGTATTGAAATGAGTTCTTCCATTTATTTTACGGAGGCAAAGCAGCCTCAGGCTGAAAGCCTCCCTAATAAAGAAAACTTAACTTAAATTCTTCCATTTGTGAATCACGTAGTCCTTACATGAAAAGTGCGATAGATAAAATCTAAGTATGTTTTCACGTAGCATTGAAGTGAAGATTATTTTGAGTGTAGCACATTATATTATATCAAATTAATATCACCTTGTGAAAAAAGCTATGCGAATTGTTCGAGGCATTGTTAGTCTATTTAAATTTATACTATGAACAGGTTTTAGTTGTTTCAGCCTATTTCAAAATACTTTTAAAATTCATTAATTAGTTACATTACACATGAAGTTGTTAACCATTTAGAATTCAGCATTAAGCAGTGCTCCTCAGCCTTGGATAATAATGCTCTTGAATCTGACTACTTCTATAGTTGCAGCAAGAGCTGCCTCAGTACCAAATCGCGAGGTTAAATTCGATACAATTATTTTAAACGACGATCTTCATATTTTTTTTTGAGTAGATGTAATGTCGCTTGATATGGTGTTGATAGATAATAAATTTGACCATTTGGAACCATAATCCGTAACACCCGGATCCGATTTCAAGGTACACACTACGAAAAAGTCGTGTAAATTTCGGTTCCCTGAGACCGACACATGTAAGCGGCCCTTTTGATATAAGAATCAGTTAAAAGAAACGAGAATACCAATTCAATCTAACGTTCTCTTCGTCGAGTTGCTTATGTTTTGGTTTGAGAACACCTAATTTACATGAAATGTTTGTTTACGTTCCATGATTTACGTCCAATGTGCATTACGTCTCGTGTAAAATTAGTTATTTCTAAGTGTGTAGTGACGAAGAAAAAACTAACGAAATGATGATGGTTTCAAAATTCATTCACGGTGAGGTACACACTTGGAAATACTTAATTTTACACGTGACGGAATCCATCTTTTACATAAAGGATGACACGTAAACAAACATGTCATGTAAAATTAAGTGCTCCGAGACTTAAAAGTTCGTTACTAGACGAAAAGTACGCTTGATTGAGCTGAATTTTGCATCTATTATGATTCTATGTCAAAATTTACGCTCGTATATGTCAAAGACGGCGCACAATAGATACGTTTTCAGGTTTTTTGACAGTTAGCCCATGCATTATCTGTCAAAAAAACCGAAAACGTATGCATTGTGCGCCGGCCTTCAGTCTCAGAGTACCTAAATTTACATGAATTTTTTAAGTGTGTAAACATTTTAAATAAATGTGGTTGTGACTACGGGGGAAAAAACTTCAATAGCTACCCGATAGAAGCTTAATTTTATTTTTCGCTTGGGTAGATAGATTTCAAATTTTCCCACGTAGTGAAAACCAAATTTAATTAAAATATTTAGGTAGGTAATAAAATACAAGCATTTTCAAAATTGTCTTTCATACCTCACAGTGAAGAAATTTTGAAACCATCATCATGTCGATAGTTCTTTGTATTCCGTGAGAGCCTACTTTGAATCACGAATAATCGATAATATGCACTTATAGAGCAACATAATTGGGTTGGCATGTGTGGACCTTGCATAAGCCTGGACTCAAACCTGAAGAGACCACTCAGCACCTCGGGAGTATACATCCAATAAGACAGCATCTGTCATGATGTGAGCAAACTTGACAATCTCCAAAATTCCTCAAGGCGCAAGTGACGTATAAGCAATGGCAGTCTCGTAAAAATAAAATTCCTTTCCATCCCAGTTCTGTACGAACTAATAAGTTTTTCGATATTTTCACCAGTTTTGGCATCGATTTTCTTACTCAAACACCCACTAAAATGTTTCGAAACGTGTAGTAAACATCCGCAGCTATGGCATTCCTGTGTCCCGTTCGAATTAGACGGGGAAAGAAGAAAAAACGTAAGTAAAATTCGGGACTCCTGCGTGCCTTTGCAATCTACCCTGGCGACGATGGTAGTTTCGAAATAAGAAGAAAAGTGAGAAGATCATCAAAGAGACAAACATCAGCAGCAGCAGTAGTGGCTGCAAAAGAATTCCATTCAATAGCAGGTCACTGACATAATTACCTGTTGATATGCTACATGCTACATCTATGTGACAAAGGGGAATAGAAATAGAGATAGCATTGTTATTTCCTGATAATTGTTTCACGGCTACGTGGAATAGACGGGTAAAATTCTGTAAATCAGCAACACTATAGTCTCAAATACAGTGGTTACTATTTCGTGAAAATGTTAATGCCAAGGGCAAAACAGTGAAGTAAAAACAAAATGCCGCTCGATATGCAGGGATGTAAATATGAGATAAATCCCGCTTCGATTCCGTCGATCATGTCAGCATAATTCAAAACATAAAATAGTGTTAAGAAGTACATTAAAAAAAAATCCAATAAATATCTACTTAAACCTGACACATAATTTATATGACGCAATAAATCAAAAAAGATAAACAATAATCGTTCCTGGGAATGTTGCTCTAAAATTATCAACCTAAGTATTTGGATGCTCGTATTAATCTTGATACATAAGCAGGTTCCTAGCTGCTACTATCGTTCAAGTCACTCGTGGCAATCTTTTTTTTTGTAGTCGGTAGCCTTTTATTTGCGAATGTTATTACAGTAATGCCTCCGTCCACCCACAGCTACCAATTGAGCTTATTTTCTGTTGATAACTAGTTCATGGTTGACAATACTCATATACAAACAAACAGTGTAATAGGTTGAAGGGGCCACCCTTAGCTCAGTAAAGGCGGTAAAGGCGCAGCTACAAAGCAAGATCATGCTGGGTTCGATTCCCGGTCCACTGGAATAGACTATTTATGTAATTTGAAACATCAATACATATGGACTTTTTATCTCCCGGACAAGTTCCTTCAGAATCAGTTCTGGATCAAGTCGATTAGGTGGAAAAAATGATGCATTACGGCATACTATTTCAAACCAATTTTATGAAAAAAAAAATCGATAATTTAAAGTCCCTCCCGGGTGCCGGAGCGGTTCTCCTGAAATCTGTTTGGGAACAAATAAATTGGAAAAGGATTTAACGAGCTTGGAGGCGTTCATAGAACTTCTCAGATAGTTTCTTTGACTTTACTGGGATATCCGTTAGGCTTCTCTAGGAAGTCCATAAGGACCCGAGACTTCCTATGATTAGCGGGAATAGTTCCTCAATAATAACCTCCTCTACTTTGATCTGCATGGTTTAGCATATTCAGAATGCTCGAAACAAAACTCTTGTATTTACCTCTCTTTCGACCACTTGCTTGCAGCATGTGCATTAGACCTGTTCATTTTAAACGAAATGTTCGGAATGTAACGGGTCAACCGTGATTGCTGTTCGTCATGTAAATTTGAACTTCTGTGTAAATTTTCAGCAAAATCGGTGATGATTTTGAGGTGCTTCTAGTTAATTTTATGTTTTTAAGGTAATTTACGGCTTACAATATTTGTATCTCGAGACTGAAACAACGAAAACTGCTGTAACAACTTTCATAGCAAAGTTTAATGTGTTATGTATCAACTTTGTAACCAAAGGTTGACTATTCGAAGTGATTTTATTGAAGTTTGACTTAGTTTCATGCTCGAAGATATCTTAAAAAGTGAAGAATTTTTAAGTATTTGTTCTACGAATTTTCCACCCGTATGATATAAAAATGTGTAGTGTACGGCATAATGTTCCTCATATTGTTCTAGAAGTTTCGTTCAAACATAGTTTTCGTGTTTATTTCATAGATTGAGAGATAAAAATCAGAAAAGAGGCCGTTTTAGCTAACATTCACAAGACAACAGAACCAATAAAAGTCAATTAGATTGACAGAACATAGTTGCATTGCTTTTCAATGACGACCGATGACTGTTTCATTGATATATGATTTTTTCATAAATATGAATCCTCAGTAGACGTGTTTTTTTTTATCAAAGGCAAGTGTCACTCGAGCCATTCAAAATATTCGTTATTTTAAAAATTGCTGTTATGGTTCGAGTGACACTTGCCTTTGATAAAAAACACGTCTACTGAGGATTCATATTTATGAAAAAATCATATATCAATGAAACAGTCATCGGTCGCCATTGAAAAGCAATGCAACTATGTTCTGTCAATCTAATTGACTTTTATTGGTTCTGTATTTTTAGTTGTTACAGCAGCTTTCGTTGTTTAAGTCTCGAGATACAAATATTATAAGCCGTAAATTACCTTGAAAACATAAAATTAACTAGAAGCACCTCTAAATCAACACCGATTTTGCTGAAAATTTGCTCAAAAGTTCAAATTTACATGACGAACAGTAATCACGGTTGACCCGTTGCATTCCGAACATTTCGTTTAAAATGAACAGGTCTAATGTGCATGATAGGTACTCGACTACTACGGAGCAAACTCGCTACTCTTTATGCATGGCTCATAAAGGCTCATACAGGAGGCAAGTCATCAGAACTCTCATATCCTCCCTATAAATGTGTTTTTTGCAAAGAGAATCCTCGTTCAATTGACTCATAAAAAATCCTCATACATGCGGGCCTAGGTTCCAAGGAGGTGAGAATATTCCCCTTGGAACAAAAGTTGGGCAACTAGACCCAGATCTATGGTTCGCCGCGTAAGACCCTTATTTAAAATCAGCCCTCTCAGAGACCGACTTCGCTCAAAAATATAAAATTTCGAGCACTCATATCTTATGATAACGTTTCATTACTAGATAATTTTATTTATTTTCGGGATGAAATTTCAATGATGGCAGCCATAGAAAATATTTAAATTGTAGTTTGCTGAACTTTCCCAGTTAAGACCTTATAGCATGGCCAAGGTAATTTCATAATTGTGGTTTTCATGATGAACTTATCTCAGCACAGAATCATGTAGAAAGGTTTTTATTCCTGAGATACGGGAAAAAATCCTTTTGTTTTAGAAATGTCAATGGACTTATTTCTATGATATCAGATTCTAATCTAATCTATAGATACTATACACGCTAAGATGGTATGTGCATTAGACTGATGCAAATTTTGACATTTTCGCTCCACAGTGCTCAAACCGTTCCAAATCGGGTTCTTATTAGTCTCCCAACATTTGAACTCATTTGAAAAGAAACTGACTTGGCACAAACCATTTGAAGTTTATATTTAAATTACTATGGGAGAGCCAAACTTTTTGTTCATTGTCTTCTTACCTTTTTTCCATATTGCACTGTTCAAAAATTCAAAAGCTATACATATGGAAAATTTTCTCAGCTACAACTTAGCAGAATATAGTTTTTGAGCTAAACGTCAAATAAAATAGTTATTAATTGTTTAACAGATTGATAATCCTATGGCATGATCAAGCAGCTGTTATGTGAGCAACACTGTATCTTGCAGTGTGACATAGTAGCCATGATTTTTGTGCTCTATTCTAAGCGCCAGAAACACCAATGTTATCTGCTGAACAGTTGATTGAGCATAATCATAAGATATTAGTGAGTGTTCACTCGGCTGTCGACAAAAGCAGGCCACTCTCGATGTGTGCTACGCGATCGTCTGTTTTCTCGGCAGCAACCATTGTGTGGTCCTCCTCATTGTTCTTCATCAGCAGTTCTTTCGGTCGATGCGTCGTCGACTTTGGAAAGCAACCGTTTCGTGATGAGTGTGTGAGTGCTGACCACGTTTTGTGTCCATTGCTGCAATGGACGCGCCTGACCCTCGTTGGCATACAACAATTTGCCATACAATGAAACTACTGGAAGCGGCTCCAGTTCTGATGGAGGAGGCTTTTTGGATAGCGGAAGATAAAGTGTTTATTGTGTTGTACCTTTTGACTATATTTTTAAGATGTTTTGTATAGTGACCAAGAATTCTCGGCTCTGTAAAGTTAATTCGGTTGAGCCTTATCAAATAAATTAATAAACAAAAAAAAAAAAAAAAAAAAAAGATATTAGTGGCTTGAATTATTGATAACTTTTGATGCTTATATTATATTGAAAAGTGGTCTTGCACAAAGTTGTAGCTGAGAGCTCAGTTATAATTTTTTTTGAAGCAGAGCGATATGGTAAATTGTTAGATGGGTATGAAAAACCATTTCGTTTTCCCATAGTAATTTCCATATAAACTTCAAATGGTTTGTGCCAAGTCAGTTTCTTATCGAATGAGTTCAAATTTTGGGAGGCTAGTTAGGACCCGATTTTGAACCGTATGAGCACTGTCGAGCAAAAATGTCAAAATTTGCATCAGTCTAATGTGCATGTGTAAAGTCGGTAAAGAATACGTAGATATCGGTAAAAATTACCGATAATCGAAGAAAATGCACATACCTAAATTATCGGTCATCATGGGTTACCGGTAATTAACGTTAAAAATTTCCTAATACATGGTAAAAAAAATCCTATTTAAAGTAAAAAGTAACGATTTTTATCGGTAAAAAATACCGATATTTTTTTACCTATAATTTTAGGTAATCGTAGCTTAGAGTGTAGATTCCATAAATAAGCGGAGGCAAAGTATAATCACAGACAAACAGACATAACACTCGTAAGTTGTTCATCGAACAAGCATTTAACGGTCAATTTAAAAGTATCGTAGTTGGTAGTACTGCCACCTGTGGCGCGCATAGTCAATTCTCTTGCGGTTGTCTTTTACACACTACCGCCATCTGTTCAGCGTACTACCCACCACAGTGTACTCAACAGATGCCGGTAATATTTTAGTGACGATGTTTTACAGTGAGAAATATTCAATGTGTTATGTCTGTTTGTCTGTGGTATAATGTAGCCAAATGTCAGTTAGTGTAGCCAAACGAGCATGACGTCATCATGGTGTTGTTTGAGGGAGAAGTATTGTAATATTATGAGCACAAAACGCTTCCCACACTCCACATTCCGATTTATTTCGCGGACAACGGAAGAAGGATAGATAAAGCAAACCATTCCTCGATTCATTTTTGCAAAGATTTGCTTTGCACTTCATTTTGAACTTTTACGCACGAAACAAATCACGAAGCACAACGAAGAGCTTTATGATGGCATGAACGTGTTTCACAGATGCCAGTAATAGCATAGAGGTAACTCTAAGACCACTGGGTCCCGAAGAAAATCATTATTATTTTTGGCTCACTCAGTACCAGAACAACGGTCCCAAGCAGTCCCAAGCTATTTCACTCACCCCTGCATGTTCTGCATGAATCCACACACCCCTGATGTTATCTGTCAAACTTTCATAGCGAATCAAAACAAACATAGTGTAGTAATAGAATTTCAACTAGAATAGGGTACGTTAATCGTTTGCTTGGGACCAATAGGCTACTAAAGTGGTGAGCCAATTTAAAATCGTTAGTTTCGTATTGATTGTTGGTAATAGCAACAATCAATACGAAACTAACGATTTTAAACGACACGGGATACACTACAATAGATCAAATTACTAGTCGCAGTAGTTTTATGTCCCAAACAGAGGAGAAAAGAAATCTAATCTATGAGATTATTTATATTGACAAGTGATCTTCACCAAGACTAGACGGATGCTTTGGCCATTCCTGCAATGCATAATGCCAATGAACCAACTTCATTTACATTTGAGGTGAAATATCCATGATCTCATCCCGACATTTTTAAGATTGTAGTTTTAATTATTCATATGGAGATTTGAACCTCGTCTATACAGAACCTTGCGATTTGTGAGATCCGAAAATAATTTTTCAAGGGGCAACTTCAATTATATTTGAGATGAAATATTATCGATTGCAGTTCGAGTAGGTTTTCAAATTGTTATTTTCATTATTTATATGAAGAACTTCATCTTAAAATTTCATGGTTTAATTTGCAGAGATTTGGCGGCTTTATTTTGCCAACGATATTTCGAGAAAATTGTAGAACATTTGAACCTGTCTTTCCTAAAAGGAATCTTTGTAAATGATCAAAGAATATAAGGGAAATTTCTCCTAAGTATTTATTTTGAGACAAATGCCACCTTTATAAACAAATACCATAAGCGTACTGTATCTCGGATGGATAATATATCCCAGAAATGGTTAGGGCATCTTCACTACCTGCTGAAAACGGTGCTGTACTCACCGTTATAATTTAACTTTAAACGTATGGCCTTTTCCAAGTCGTGAATAAATTCCTGTAAAAAATTGATGTGTCTGCTGCGTCACATCATATGAATCTATTACTGCTGTAAATATGGTTCAGAACTGATTCTGAAGGAGCTGGTACGAGATCCCCAAACGAAGAAACCAGATATGAGGATTATTTACTTGTCATATGAAAGTTTTTCTCCAGAAAATTAGTTCTAGAACCGATTCCAGTGGACCCAGAGCCTGATATGGATCATATGATCTTCAATCTGGGATTAGCAAAATTCGCTTTCTTGACGCAAATTAAATTAAACCAAATAGGGGAAATGGCTCTAATGTTGGCCTATGGATCTAATTATGGGCCCATCGCTAAAAGTTTGCTATTTACCAATTTTATCTAGATGAACGCGTTATTGGGACACTACTAATGGATATTTTGGTCGCTATTGAAAATTTAGTCGATTGTTGAATTTATGTATGGGCCCAAATTAGGGGCATTCAGGCCGACATTACATCCATTTCCCCTACCATCAGCAATAAAATATCAAATCAATGGCCAAATAAATAAATTTGGTCAACTGCAAATAATGTAATACGTCAACAAATAGCTTGAAAATAGCTGGTCAAACCGTTTTATAATATTTGGTCAAATATTTTTTGGTGAAATATTTGTTAAATATTAGACAAGTGTAATGGCTTAGGCAAACACATAGGACAAATAGCATTATTTGGCAAAGCTTAACGAGTCAAATATTTGTCGTGTGGGCAAACAGTATGATATCAGCATAACTTGAGCATAGGGATACCATATGGCGAAGGTTCAAAATCAGGACATTTTGAAATTGATACCAAGGACCTTTTTAATAGATTTATTTCATTTAAAAGTGTTGGTTTCTACCCGTATTTCTACCTGTGAAAATCAAACCGTGGTAAAATAGCATAGTATGCTTTTTTAAGTGGTCAAAATACGAACAAGTTTTTTATATTTAAAAACAAACATTCATTCCCTAATAAAAAAAATGCCATACCCGAACAATAACCCAAATTACTGCACTATTCCTCAAATAGCTTGGATGGTACCCTGAGCACGTCGTTATGCAAAATAACCATACAAATTTTATTAGGATTGCGTTGTGTCCTGGTGTCTACAAAAAGTACTAAATAAACTTCAAAATTTCTGATAAGCCAGCGATATTCAGATTACTTCTAAAAATATCAAACAACTTTTTATTTAATTTCTCAAGAACTTCTCAGTTTTTCAACGTCTTCATACTGAATTGTCGGATTTTGGAAATCAAGCCACTGGAACACCTAGAATCAATTAAGCATTGTGAATTATTTAATGCAGTTATGCTCATACCCGCGGAACCGGGTATCTTTTTTGAGCTTTGACAGAGTTGATTTTATGCTTAAGCTGGGTTTAGACAGGGTAAGTCAATTGATCAAGTCAGTTGAATTCAACTGACTTGAACCATGCCATTCAACTGACTTGATCAACACACTTGAATTGAAAAAAGTTGAACTAGGCTCAACTTTTCAAGCCAATTGAATTATATCAAGAGAATCACGCACTTTTTGTTTTGCTCCCTTTCAAGAAACTTGAATTTTTCGCTAAAAAGGGCCATCAGTGAGTTTGTAAAAAGCAAGTAGAATTCACTTAATTCATCGTAGAAAAATTTGTCGAGGATTTTTGAGGGCTGGTCTTGCGATAAAAAATACGATTTCAACGCCGGAAACATTTACAAAATTCGATGAACAGCTGTCATTGTACTAAACCAGCGTGTTTTACTATGAGACTGCAGATTACGATACTCGATTTCCATGAAATCGCAGATTTGCTTCAACTGTTCTCACAGTGTTGATCGAAAAGGAATTGTAAATTTGCACAACAATCGAGTCCATGTTCAAAACTCCCAACTGATCAAGACCGTAGTGAAGCGCGTGCAGAACGTGAACAGGGCATCCTACACCAATAAGGTTGGAATTGAATGTCTGTTTCAGCATGTGAAATAGTTCTGCTTTCCTTTGTCTTAGTGTTGTCTCTTAGTAGCTTTCAGATTCATTTGTTTTGCAAATTGTGCTTTCGAACACATGATCAATTATTTCAGAGGTCGTTCCAGCTTTCTCATTAGTAATCCCTAATAAAAATAACCATAAAAGAGACCTTAACGACGTGTTCGGGGTATCATCCAAACCATTAGTGAGATAGTTTACCCATCCGGGATACAGTTTGTTTATGGTATTTGTTTATTAGGTACCTTCATGGAGATCCAAAATCCTCAATTGAATGCCACCTTTCGATGCATCGAAGAACCTTTATTTAAAAAAAAACTATAAACGAACGGAAATCCAAATAAAAGAACTATTCCACAAATGGTTTGGATGATACCCCGAACAAGTCGTTAAGGAAAATATCCATAATAATATTGGTTGCACCCGTCTGTACTTACACTATCGAAAGGAGTTCCGGAGAGTTCCTTCACAGTAACGTTGATTGAGTGCGGTGAAAGAACTCCAGTGATGATGACTTCTGCCTTAGTATGAGCGCAGCTAATCATTCTGGCTGTTTCGGAGTCGTCGAACATCATACGCAACAAAGCGAGCATACAATCCATCAATTTAAAGCTGTTGGTGCGAAACCGAACTTTTTGTCAGTGCGAACCTCAACCTGAGGTGGGTTTTAAAAACAAACGAGCAAACTGACGTTTATCAGAAAACTAACAGACCCTATCTTGATACCCAATCCAGGTTGGAACTGAATAATAAACGAATTCACTATAAATGTATGCCCAAACAAACATATCCTTTTGGAATACATGATTTCGGTGTATTGCAAAAAAAAATCGGGATACATATTTTAATTTTGTCCGAGCTCAATGGCGCAAACAATAACTGTCACGTATGATACCATAGTTCAAGTTCAACGTATTTTTTTTAGATTATAGCATTTGAATTCTTGAACAAAAGGATCACCCATAAATCAAAGCGATAGAAGACTGTAGACATATCCACGCATCTAACCCATTATTCTCAATTATTCTCTCTAGCCATCGGAAGCGACATCGATAAGGACCTGACGAGCAGCTTGGGTTTGAATCATGGAATGGGTCGCATCACTGGATCAGCCAGCATCGAAACGCTGGTCCGCGTGGGCATCGAGAAGGAGCACGGCCTCTCGCCAGACAGCAAAATGGTTGTGCTGCACGATTTTACACCGTGCGTGGACGATGAATTGGAAGTGAAACGGGGACAGATTGTGAATATTCTGTACCGGGAGAATGATTGGGTGTATGTCATTGGCCAGGACACCCGACAAGAGGGCTTCATACCACATTCGTATTGTGCGCCGTTTAATACACAGCTAGCGGATTTGGCCATAAAGAAAAAACTGCCACGTGACGTGTCTGTTGGACTAGCAAATAACGACCTAACCGAGGGAATACCGGACATTAACATAGATGTGATTGACGATAGCACATCCGGGTTGATTGGACTAACCAATTCACTGAAACACTCGCAGGCGAGTCTTAGTTCTGAGCCTGATTTCTTGCCATTTTCTAAGGACCCAAGTGGTCGTTATATTGTACTATATACTTTCATCGCCCGGGACGAGAACGACGTCTCAGTTGAACGGGGTGAGTTTGTGACGGTGTTGAATCGTGAAGATCCAGAGTGGTTCTGGATAGTGCGGAGTGATGGCCAGGAAGGCTTTATTCCTTCTGGATTCGTGTACCCGGCGGAAAATATTCTGCAAGGTCAAACGAAGCAAAATCTTGCCGGTGGAAACCCTACCAACAACAATAATGGAAATGTGGGAACAAATGATTCAAACATACCACAAATGAATGGTGGTGTGAATAATTTAGGTGGAAACGGAGGGACAACCATGAATTCTGTACAGCAGCAACAGCAGCAACAACAGCCACAGCAGCCTGGAATTGGTTCCGATGATTTACGATATCATGGAACGGAACTTGTTATGCTATACGATTATAAGGTAAATGTGAATCAATAAGCATTTTGTTAACGTTATTTACTAACTTACTCATTTGAACAGGCGCAAGCACCGGATGATCTGTCGGTTCGACGAGGGGACTGGATCTACGCCGACCTGAATAACCAAACCGTCGACGGGTGGCTTTGGGCTTATGCACCAAAAACACGAAAGTATGGTTTCATCCCCAAAGCATACGCTCGACCGCCGGCCATGACCAGTTTGTAATTCAAATAATCTGGATTATTTTAAGCGAATTTGTTCTAAGATATCAAAATATTTTTATACATGAAGTATTTGTTTGTAAAGAATGCGTACCGCATTTCGTTCAGAAAATTTAATCGCTCAACTGCCGCAATCGCACAAGAAATCTGTAAACTGTAGATTGTAAAACGCAAAAGTACTTAATCAAAAAAAAATCATTATACAATTCAATACTCTACTAGAAACTAATTTTATTATTTTATTTTATACACGAAATAAAGAAACCAGTTTTTTATATCAACCATACTTATTCCTCTTCGTGAGTTTTCTGCTCCAATTGTTTTCGTTTCTCCATGAGCTCTGCGTATTGCTTTTTCACTGCTTGAATCTGCTCTGACGAAACGGTGATAGGGACCTTACACTCAGTCTGCTCCTTTCGGATGAATTCCAAGTTTTCCAGCTTCTTCGCTAAGAAATCTACCTGTTGCGATTCCAGTGACTGTCGATAGCTCTGCAGGCGAGTATTCTTTATATTCTCACAGTAAATATCGGTCAACTTTTGCAATGATTCTTTACGAGTAATCCAATGGAAATGCCTGAAGTAGTTTTAAAAAAAAAATACTGTAGCACATAATTTGATAGTTATAAAATCTACCCAGACTTACGTCGGATACGGTTTGTAAACCAGATCGAGTTTCTCCAGAATGTATTCAAAGCGCCTATAATCCCAGCGTCTCAGATATCTTAAGAAACGCTTTCTTTTATCAATTAGTTCCTTCAGATGAACCTTAGCAGCGGATTGCGTAGGATACTTTTCCATTACTTCCTGTAGACTTCTGATTTGGGCCGTCATCAAACCCACTGAAATCGGAAAATCATTTGAAATCTTCAATCTAACACCCAATCCAATCCAATCGCATCGAACATACACTTAGCTTCAATAGATCCATAGTCCAGCTCATGCCGTTGAACCCGCTTCACCATTTCCTCCTTGAAGTTCTCGAGCATCTCCCGTCTGCGGTTATGTTCAAGGGAGAACATCGCCTTGACTGTATCATCAGCACTGTTTATTATCATCCGGAAACATTGTAACATATCATCGAATAAATCGCATAAAATATAATCACAACAACAATGAAGCACTTACCTCTCCAGTTCCTTCGAATTTTGGTAATCTTTCAGCAGCTCGGTTCCGCCTACCGCACGAATCGGATGCAAATCGCCACTCTTCTGCGGCTTGTAGCAAGGAATTTTTTCCGGTCGCACCCACTTGATTTTCAAATCGGATTTGAATGCATAGTTCCGGGACAGTAAACTTACGCTACTGACTAATGGTTTAAGCTTATTGAGGGTATTCATTATACATTAACCAACCGAATATTATATTCGTAATTAAATTAAAACAAAATTGCGTAAACCCGAAAATTCAACGCGAGAACGGCAAACACATGTAAACAACAGTGTTGATGAGATGAGAAAAGTCGGTGACATAACAGAACTGTCAAATCAGACCGAGAGCTGCCAGCCACACTGAAAATATAAATAATTAATTTTTTTTTCGAAACTACAGAATCCATCTTTCCTGAAAAACATCTTACAACCAACAATTGAAAAGGGCCTATCTGCTTTGATCAACACATCTTTTTAAGCCGTTTCCTCGTGATGCGTAGGCCACCCTGGCAAAAACAATTCCCAATGATGCTGCTAGTTTGTGTGGGTGACCTTAGCTTTGCGAGGAATGCTCGGAGGAAAAGGCTATAAATTTTTGTTTACATAAGCTGATAGGCTCTTTTCTATTGTTATTCGAGATCTGATGATACGTTTTTCGCTGTTTTTCGTACACACACACTCAAAAAATATTGAAATCTAAATAGTATAAAAGTTACGCTAAATAGCAACTCTCCGTACCGACGCAAAGGGAGAGAATGCAAACTTAGTATAAAAATGGTTTATGCGTGCCATAGTATAAAATCGAAATATACTCACAATGCATAGATACGGTTTATTCAAGAGAATGTATTTTTCGCTTCTTTATTTTATTCATGATAAATATTATTGTTTTCAAATGAAAATAAAAATTGTCTCAGGAAGCTTTTTTCATTAGTTTATTTTTTATTAATAATATTTAAAAAAAAATACTTACAATTTCGATGCTGCCCAGCAGATCACAGGCGTAGTAGAAATCCGCTGGGACAAAGCCCTTCACCAGCACGAAGCTCCGAAGGGAATCCAGATGTTCTTATTCCTGTCATTTTAGTAAACACTGATCGAATTCCACTCCGTTATTCGGACTTAGTATAATTTTATCGAAAATTTTAATCGAACCAATGTATAAATTTTGAAAAACCATAAAATGCATAAAATTTAATCTATATTCGTTTTGTAATATTTTTGAATGCACACTCATAAAATTCAACACATTTTTATTGGTGAATTTCCATGTAATATTCCACATGATTTTCATGTGTACACACATAAACAGAATCCACCCCGACCAACCGTTCGTGAAACTTCTTCAAAGTTCTTTATACAGAAATAAAGATTAATGTCGTCAATTCTTTACTTTAAATTTTCTATGATTTCGATGTACACATTTAAAAATCTTTATTGATCGATACTTACATTTAAGATTATTTCTTCATCGGTCATATGATAGTAATCTTTAAAGGTGCCATACTAAGTTTCTTTTAATTTCGATATGTCACATGGACTTTAGTATTCTTTACAAATATTCATCAATAAATATTTAAATACTGATATCATCGTAACTTTGAACTTTGACAAAGACCAACAAAGATTGCCATCGATGCACATTTATAATCTCCTTGTTATCGATTTGCATCGCTGGTTAAAGAGAGTTCGATACACACCAGGTGACAGATGGCAATGTTTATATTATTTATCGACATATTCGGCATTTCATCGGAAGAAGCAATCTGCCGGTAAATGAACAAGAAGACCGATGGCCGCGACGTAGCGAATGTTTACCATTGTAGTTTTTCAAGTTTACGTCTATATATTTAATAACCCCTGATAGCATGCGTGGTGGGATTCTCGGCATTTGGAACCCAATGAGGAAAATTGATACCTTTTTGACCTCTATTACACCTACATGGCTGACTGGATGATGGTTATGACAAATAAATTTATATAAATATTGAATTCACGTATGAAAAGATTTACAGAAATTTCAATACACCACATACTATAGTGTGTTTGCCTGTCGCTGATAAGCTCAACAACAGCAGCCGTGGACCCGAGGATTAGCAACCAACAACGAAATCAAGTACACCCCAGATGGCATGGAATCGAAACTAGAAATTATGCAGATAAAAAAATCACAAATAAAATCAGCAGTTGTGTATCGATATTTTGATTTTACAACAAAAATCGATATTTAAAATCTGGCAACACAATCGATATTTTAACATTGGTAACGATTAGTAGAAATATTTTGAGAAAGATCTTTATAAACGATTCACTATTCTACTTTTAGCATCTTTACAATTATTCATGAAATGGTGACGATCGCTATCGATTTTTCTTATGAATGGCTTTGAAGATCGATGTATAGAAAATTAAAGAAAATTAACGAAATGGTTGGTCGGGACATGTGTGTTGCACATGAATTTTATGTATACACATAAGAAATATGTGTCCGACACATATTAATCAGTGCCAACATTTCAAAGGGGCGTAATTGCATTTGTAAACAATGACTTTCGTCTTCGATTTCTCGCGAATGAAAGCTCACTCATGAAACTGAATGACACCAGCAGGTAGAGGAATGTTTCCTGTCCCAGCTTCTTCTTCTTCTTCTTCTTCTTCGCATTTCAAGCTTATTGCATATCGCATATTAGCTTATTGCGTGCTCTCAACTTAGTGTTCTAGATGCATTTCCACAGTTATTAATTGAGAGCTTTCGATGCCTGTACCATTTTTGCGTTGGTATAATTGTGTGGCAAGTCCAATCATACTTCTATGCCCAGGGAAGTTGAGACATTTTCCAACCCGAAAATTCCTAGACCGGCCCGGGAATCGAACCCAGCCACCTCCAGCATGGTCTTGCTTTGTAGCTGCGCCTTTACCGACTGAACTAAGGGAGGCCCCACGATGTCCCAGCTAGCATTGGTAATTTGGAGGGGTGGGCTTTTATTTGCGAGAAATCGACGGCTAAAGCCATTGTTTACAAAATCAATTACGCCCCTTTGAAATGTTGGCACTGATATCATTTGTTTATCTAATTGCAAAAATTCACGTGCGGAACTCATAAATATAATCATTGAATTTTTATTGGTGCACAATGAGTTCAACTTAATCGACTAATATTTTTTTTTTCAAAAATTTGAGTTGCCACAAAAGGAGTAAAAATTTTCGAGATTTTCCCGAGGGGGGCCACACGATGCAGGAAAAATTATGTTTTGCTGTGGTTAGCTGCGCGCACGCTGAGTAGATACACACTAGAAATACTCAGAGGGAGAGATTGGCGGAGAAAACAAAATATTATCGTTTCAGTAGAAAACCGGAAAATCCCACACGCGCCAATTGAATTTACTCTCGTTCTGTACGTTAAACATAACGTCGGACATAGTGCGCTGTATTCACACAATGATGCGCTATTCAGCGCACTATGTCCGACGTTATGTTTAACGTACAGAACGAGGGTAAAATCGAATGTCGCGTGTGGGATTTTCCGATGTCCAACTTGAACGACAGTACAATTCGGTCTGCAACCCTTGCTAACACTTAGCATTTCACATGACTTTTAATTTTGATTCGATTGACGTGCAAATTAATAATTGATTGCATCGCAATATTTTGAACATTTTTTGGTGCCATTAATTAACCAACTAAGATCAATTAATCAATAGAGTTAGAATATTGCTTTTGATTCCAAATACTAGTTGAATTTGAGAAGCACACGAAACATAAAGGTGGTTGAATTTCTGTTCGATTGCAATGCAAATGTAATCTAGTAAGAATAAGAAATCCTCGGAAAAAATCTAATGGGAATGGTCGTTTGGCTCAGATTTTGAAAGTTCATTTGCCTCAAAACATTCTCTCCGCCCATCTCTACACGGTTAGAAAAAAGTGCCCAAAATTAAGTTCTTTTCACTCATCTCGGAACTATAGTGCAGGAACCCAAAAGTAGGTAAAGCGGGTCAAAGTAATTTTCATTAACTTGTGTGCAGTTCGTATGGAATTTTCCACTGGCTTTTTAACCAAAAGTAAGTTAGATGTACCCAACAGTAGGTAAATATGATTATACTCAACGTTGGGTTCCCACACTTTACTACCCCTGTTGGGTGGTTTTGCTCGTCCGTTTTTGACAACATTAGTAGGAGAAAGGAGACAAACTAGTCAAAAGTAGGTAAAAGTGAACTGACCGTTGGGTACTTTTTTCTTACCGTGTAGTATTTCTAATACACACTTAGAAAATATTACCAAACTCGGTTTGATTTCAACCGTGTTTTTATGTGCTGAACGCTCGGTAGTCTGTTCGGTTCAAAGAGAAATAACCGAGCTGTCGTTAGTTCTTTTGGCTACCCATAATCTGTCAAAGGTACCGAAAATCTCGGTTGACAAAAAATAAATTTAAGCAGAAATAACCGAACATCAGTTTACTCAAGAATTACCGAACGCTGTCAAACAAACCGACCCACCTGTTGTAATTACGGAATTCGGTTCTCTTGGGCAGCGCTCGGTTTTCACTTCAAATCCTGCTTTAAGTTTTGATTGAGGATACGTTGCTTCGAATTTTCATAAAAATAAAACCAGTTTTGTCAAAGACATGCAGTGCTGTAAATTTTCATATCATTCGATTGAAGATGAACCACTACAACCATTCAATCAATTCTGTGTAAACGAATTCTCACATGACCATAATTTGAAGAGCCCCTTTCTCATTCGAAGCTCATTGTCACTGTCAATTGAGTCACTCAGTATCATTTGATATACGACAGAGGAGTATGGAAGAAATCCAGGAAAATGGTCCCGAACAGACAAGTCGACCCGATGTCGGATCAATGTAAGGCTAATTTAAGGTCGATGTCGACCCAATGTCGTGTTAATGTCGGGTCAATTTTGGGTTTATGTCGGGTCAATTTCGGGTCAACATCGGGTTGGGGTTTGATAGAAGTCAGGTTGGTGTCAGGTTGGCTTTGCTTTTTCGCCGGAATGTCGACCAGAGCTCCGTTTGTGTGTAGGTTACACTCAATCGAATGATATATAGCGTTTCTCAAATGAGAATGATCCATGCCTTCGTCAAATGACTAAGCAACCGATATCACCCATTCGGAGGAGGTCCCCTTTGATAGCGAATAGCTACTTTTCTCATTTTCATCAAAAATGTTCAAATGATTTTGAGAATTTACAGCACTGAAGGCATGTATGAAATATATTTATTTAATTTGTTTTGGCGAATAAA